GTTTGCCCGCTGTGACTTCACAGATTCACGGCCTATTATTCCTATTATTTTGAATTGCCATAAGGCTGGAATGTTCATTCTGTGCTTTTGTTTTACATATCTGCACAATCAAGAAACATCTGTGCACCATGTTGGCTCCAAATGCACGCATTGCATCAGTGATGGCTGACGGTGGGTGGATGGATGAGGGAGCTTAGGTGGGAGGCAGTATGAGAGAGGGGGGGGGGGGGGGAAATCAGTGAGAGAGGGGGAGAGAGAGATGCTAGGAGGGAGGGGGAGGTAGGGAGAGATGTTAGGAGGTAGGGAGAGATGCTAAGAGTGAGGGGGAGGTAGGGAGAGATGCTAGGAGGTAGGCAGGAAGGGATGGAAGTAGTGAGAATTAGGGAGGGAAAGGCAGGCTGGCAGGCACAGGCAGGCAGGCACAGGCAGGCAGGCAGGCAGGCAGGCGCAGCAGGGAGTGAGTGGTAGTCACGCGGTTGAACCGCGTGACCTTGAGAGATGGGATGTAGGGGGGCAGGTGGTTTGTTGGTGGTGGGGGTGAGACCGGCTCATTCCCGAAGATAAACCTAACACACACTACCCGTTAGCATGATGGCAGGGAGGGAGGCAGGCTGGCTGGAAAGGAAGCAGGCTTGCAGGCTGGGAAGGAGGCAGGCAGGCAGGCAGGCTTGCAGGCTGGGAAGGAGGCAGGCAGGCTTGCAGGCTGGGAAGGAGGCAGGCAGGCTTGCAGGCTGGGAAGGAGGCAGGCAGGCAGGCAGGCTTGCAGGCTGGGAAGGAGGCAGGCAGGCAGGCAGGCTTGCAGGCTGGGAAGGAGGCAGGCAGGCTTGCAGGCTGGGAAGGAGGCAGGCAGGCAGGCAGGCTTGCAGGCTGGGAAGGAGGCAGGCAGGCAGGCAGGCTTGCAGGCTGGGAAGGAGGCAGGCAGGCAGGCAGGCTTGCAGGCTGGGAAGGAGGCAGGCAGGCTTGCAGGCTGGGAAGGAGGCAGGCAGGCTTGCAGGCTGGGAAGGAGGCAGGCAGGCTTGCAGGCTGGGAAGGAGGCAGGCAGGCAGGCAGGCTTGCAGGCTGGGAAGGAGGCAGGCAGGCAGGCAGGCTGGGAAGGAGGCAGGCAGGCAGGCAGGCTTGCAGGCTGGGAAGGAGGCAGGCAGGCAGGCTTGCAGGCTGGGAAGGAGGCAGGCAGGCAGGCAGGCTTGCAGGCTGGGAAGGAGGCAGGCAGGCAGGCAGGCAGGCAGGCTGGGAAGGAGGCAGGCAGGCAGGCAGGCAGGCAGGCTTGCAGGCAGGCAGGCAGGCTTGCAGGCTGGGAAGGAGGCAGGCAGGCAGGCAGGCTTGCAGGCTGGGATGGAGGCAGGCAGGCAGGCAGGCTTGCAGGCTGGGAAGGAGGCAGGCAGGCAGGCAGGCTTGCAGGCTGGGAAGGAGGCAGGCAGGCTTGCAGGCTGGGAAGGAGGCAGGCAGGCTTGCAGGCTGGGAAGGAGGCAGGCAGGCTTGCAGGCTGGGAAGGAGGCAGGCAGGCAGGCTTGCAGGCTGGGAAGGAGGCAGGCAGGCAGGAAGCGATATATGGGTGTTGAAGTGAACCATGAACCACGTGACCTTTGAGTGTGTGTGTGTGTGTATGGGTTTGGGGTGGGGGGAGAGGGGGAGGTGTATCGGTGGTGGGGGAGGGACCGGCTGACTCCGTAAGCCTAACCACACTCCACAGACCTGTGACCCAGATTTGTTTCTTAAATGTACAGTACATCATCGTATATTTTAGGCAGGATGTGCCTGCAGGCTGGCAGGAAACATCCAGAGGATGTTTGCCAGACGTCTTAATAATCAGTTAGGAACAATTAAGGACTTTTATAAAGCGGATCAGGACTTCACTTATTGGTGAGTACAAACAAAACACAGTCGCATTTACGCTATGAACCTGTCAATTTTTTCCCCTAGAGTTTTTCGTGAATTTTTTCGGAAAAATTTCTTTTTACATTTCTAGTTTATTTTTTCCCCTCTATTTCTCGTATACGAACTTACATGTTAACCGACGGGTCTCGTCCCCAAGGGGTTCGGAAACCAAGTGGTGCTCTGTATTATATGAGAGTGCTAGATAGAGGGCACACCATGAACAACGCGTTCATCCTGTAAATACACTTGGTAATTATTGGCTCTCGGCAGCACTGCTGCTGCTACACCAGTCAGCATCACTGCTACTGCTACACCCTTCAGCATCACTGCTACTGCTACACCCCTCAGCATCACTGCTACTGCTACACCCCTCAGCATCACTGCTACTGCTACACCCCTCAGCATCACTGCTACTGCTACACCCCTCAGCATCACTGCTACCACCACACCCCCTCATCATCACTGCTACTGCCACACCCCATCAGCATCACTGCTACTACTACACCCCTCAGCATCACTGCTACTACTATACCCTTCAGCATCACTGCTACTACTACACCCTCAGCATCACTGCTACTACTATACCCTTCAGCATCACTGCTACTACTACACCCCTCAGCATCACTGCTACTACTACACCCCTCAGCATCACTGCTACTACTACACCCCTCAGCATCACTGCTACTACTACACCCCTCAGCATCACTGCTACTACTACACCCCTCAGCATCACTGCTACTACTACACCCCTCAGCATCACTGCTACTGCTACACCCCTCAGCATCACTGCTACTACTACACCCCTCAGCATCACTGCTACTGCTACACCCCTCAGCATCACTGCTACTACTACACCCCTCAGCATCACTGCTACTGCTACACCCCTCAGCATCACTGCTACTACTATACCCTTCAGCATCACTGCTACTGCCACACACCCTCAGCATCACTGCTACTACTACACCCCTCAGCATCACTGCTACTAGCACACCCCTCAGCATCACTGCTACTAGCACACCCCTCAGCATCACTGCTACTAGCACACCCCTCAGCATCACTGCTACTAGCACACCCCTCAGCATCACTGCTACTAGCACACCCCTCAGCATCACTGCTACTACCACACCCCTCAGCATCACTGCTACTACTACACCCCTCAGCATCACTGCTACTAGCACACCCCTCAGCATCACTGCTACTAGCACACCCCTCAGCATCACTGCTACTACTATACAATTCAGCATCACTGCTACTACTACACCCCTCTGCATCACTGCTACTACTACACCCCTCAGCATCACTGTTACTACCACACCCCTCAGCATCACTGCTACTACTACACCCCTCAGCATCACTGCTACTACTACACCCCTCAGCATCACTGCTACTGCTACACCCCCTCAGCATCACTGCTACTGCTACACCCCTCAGCATCACTGCTACTACCACACCCCTCAGCATCACTGCTACTACCACACCCCTCAGCATCACTGCTACTACTACACCCCTCAGCATCACTGCTACTACCACACCCCTCAGCATCACTGCTACAGCCCTCAGCATCACTGCTACTACTATACCCTTCAGCATCACTGCTACTACTACACCCCTCAGCATCACTGCTACTACTACACCCCTCAGCATCACTGCTACTACTACATCCCTCAGCATCACTGCTACTACTACACCCCTCAGTATCACTGCTACTACTACACCCCTCAGTATCACTGCTACTACTACACCCCTCAGTATCACTGCTACTACTACACCCCTCAGCATCACTGCTACTACTACATCCCTCAGCATCACTGCTGCTGCCACACCCCTCAGCATCACTGCTACTACTACATCCCTCAGCATCACTGCTGCTGCCACACCCCTCAGCATCACTGCTACTACTACACCCCTCAGCATCACTGCTACTACTACACCCCTCAGCATCACTGCTACTACTACACCCCTCAGCATCACTGCTACTGCTACACCCCTCAGCATCACTGCTACTGTTATACCCTTCAGCATCACTGCTACTACTACATCCCTCAGCATCACTGCTGCTGCCACACCCCTCAGCATCACTGCTACTACTACATCCCTCAGCATCACTGCTACTGCTACACCCCTCAGCATCACTGCTACTACTACACCCCTCAGCATCACTGCTACTGCTACACCCCTCAGCATCACTGCTACTACTACACCCCTCAGCATCACTGCTACTACTACACCCCTCAGCATCACTGCTACTACTACACCCCTCAGCATCACTGCTACTGCTACACCCCTCAGCATCACTGCTACTGCTACACCCCTCAGCATCACTGCTACTGTTATACCCTTCAGCAACACTGCTATTACCACACCCTTCAGCATCACTGCTACTACTACACCCCTCAGCATCACTGCTACTACTACACCCCTCAGCATCACTGCTACTACTACACCCCTCAGCATCACTGCTACTACTACACCCCTCAGCATCACTGCTACTACTACACCCCTCAGCATCACTGCTACTGCTATACCCTTCAGCATCACTGCTACTACCACACCCCTCAGCATCACTGCTACTACTACACCCCTCAGCATCACTGCTACTACTACACCCCTCAGCATCACTGCTACTGCTATACCCTTCAGCAACACTGCTATTACCACACCCCTCAGCATCACTGCTACTACTACACCCCTCAGCATCACTGCTACTGCTATACCCTTCAGCATCACTGCTACTACCACACCCCTCAGCATCACTGCTACTGCTACACTCCTTAGCATCACTGCCACACTACACCCTTCAGCATCACTGCTACTGCTACACCCCTCAGCATCACTGCCACACTACACCCTTCAGCATCACTGCTACTGCTACACCCCTCAGCATCACTGCCACACTACACCCTTCAGCATCACTGCTACTGCTACACCCCTCAGCATCACTGCCACACTACACCCTTCAGCATCACTGCTACTGCTACACTCCTCAGCATCACTGCCACACTACACCTTTCAGCATCACTGCTACTGCTATGCATTCCAGCATCACTCCAACATATTGTTTTGAATGCACACAATTAAAAACATGTCTCTCTTCACACAAAGTGGAGAATTCTGTATTGTCGTACCTGATGGAATGTAAACAATATTTGTAGAGAAGAGAGAATGTAGAAGCCAGGTCCACATGCCATAGAAGGCACCCATCTTCAGAGAGGCAATGAACACCCCATTCACAGCATCCTCCACAGCCTTTCCCAAGCTGAAAAGTTGAGTGTTACTGTTATAATAACTGTCAGTGATTATTTGACTAGTATGATAAAAATAAAACACCCCCGTTTCAACCTGGCTTTGCACCCTGGAGTGGCCTCTCAAGACCGATAACCAGAGTGCAACTCCAGACTGATGGAATGCTACTATGATACATGTAAATAACTACACATTTATATAATGCCTATAAATGACTTAAAGCATGTAAAAAACCAGAGTTGAATGTAACGAAACACTATTTTCTTGGCAAGTCCTGGAGGCTTGCCGGAGTTATCCATGGCTGATATGGATACGCTAAGTATTTTGCATCAGTCGATGTGGATGGAGTTCTAGCGTACCGGGGACCACGAGCCAGAACCTGGCCCCCTTCACAGAGGCACGTGGAGCAATGGCCCATAGAAATGCACATGTTATTTGGAGCATTCTATATCTGCCATCGACTGGGACAGGCACCCAGAAAGGTAAGCGCCACAAAACAAACCCCTATTCTGGTTAACAATGAAAATTGACAAACGAGTGGACAGAACACCCCAAAAGAAAAACGAGCCAACAAGCATGACGTCACACGAGCCGCGCCGCTGTTTGCGCAGCTCTCCACTCCCCGGGAGGGGGGAAGGGTAGCCCCAGACCTATTGTGCTGATGATCCACACCCCAGTTCAGAGGCTGGATTTCAAAACACGCGAAAAACCACCGACCGGAGGGAGGGAGGGATGTCAGGGAGCCACTGGGTCTCACCCAGAAAATGGCGTTTCAGTTAGTTTAGTTCATTTATTATGCACCCCATACCCATCTTGTGGTGGTAGTGGAAAGGGTTACAGAGGCCCATAATGGGCTCAGGGACTGAACCCCACAATTCATTTAGCTATGCAAGTTACAATTTTGATGAGCTAGTTATAAAATTCAGTATAAGTCGTCACATCAACAGTGGGTTCGAGATCGACCACAAGTACAGTTTCTAAATTAAGCAACTGACATATGTGGAGAGCTAGTGTCACAAATAATATGTTTGTCCTGCACGCTGCCCCCCCATCCAGTGGGCAGCGGTGGATAGGTTACAATCACTTATTTCATTACATTCAACGGTGGTTTTCTGGGGGGAACCCCTACGGCTTCCCGGAGCTACTTCACCAAAGACTACTTAAGAAAACAAGGGGACCTACCTAGGAGGCGGGCGGTGCTCCACTTCTCAACTCGAAGTCGAGACAACAGGCTGCATCCACCGACTTAAAGCAACACAGGCCCGACTGGATCAGCAACGTTCACGAGGTAGTGTGCAGCCAGGACCCTGTTCGACCGCCAAAATCCCCATGCCCGAATGTCAGCCCAAGACATATTGCCGAAGATGGCAGCAAACTTACGAACGTCATGGGCACGGGGGGTAGACCGCAGGCTGCCTAGATTTAATAGCCCTGCAGACTACCTGAGAGACCCGAACCCGCGAACAGGGAAGAAGGGAAACCGAATCAACCCGAAGTGCATCCCTGACACAGAAGCCACGGCGCACAGGTAACGGCGGAGGGTCGCAACTGAACACAACACATGGTGAACCCCCGGCCCAACAAACCAAGCATCAACAACCCAAGGACCCCTTCAGAAAGCAGCAGTCTCATTCTTCGCCAGAAAAGAGGGAGACAGCTGCAGACGAACATGCCTATGACCACGACCAAAGGAGCAAAAATTTCTGTGCCTGAGAAGAACATGAAGCTTTGCCACACGACCCCCAGAGGCCAATGCCAACAGAAAAAAAGGGCCTTAGCAAAGCAATCTTGAACCGAGGGGGACAACAAACCGAGGAGAAGAAAGATGGGAGAGCGCTCTATCCAAAGACCAGGACAGCTCAGGCAACGCACAAGCAGGCCGGAGGTGAAACGACACACGAGACAGCTTGCGAAACGGCGCAGTTCTAACATTGATACCAAAAGCAAGCCGCAGTGGCTTTGCCAGCGCCGCATGATACGAGGCGACAGTATTAGGCATCAGATGACGGTCCTGGAACAATCAAGAGAGAAAGGACAACACCACCCGAACCGAAAGCAAGGAACGACGACGAAGGGCCAAAAAGAACCAGAAGGACCGCCAGGAAGCTTCATACTGCCGCAGAGAGGAAACCTGCAGGCGAGAAACCAACAAAGAAGCCACCTGCTCACCATAAAGATGGTGATAAACACGAGTCAAAAACAGCAATCGCGAAGACTTGCGGAGAAGAGCGAACCAGTCTCATACCGGACCGGTCCGATCTCCTGAAAGGGGCAGAGCCATGGAAAAACCTCCGGGCTCGGACACCGAGCAAGCAGCACCTGAAACCATGGCTGGGCTGGCCACCACGGGGCCAAGAGGACCACTTGACCCTGGTAAATCTCCAAGCGAGCCAGGACCAGGAGCTACAGCCGAACCTGGCAAAAGAGGTACAGGAATCCCCACCTCGACCAGTCCTGCCAAAAGGCGTTGATCCCAACAGCCTCGCAGTCGGAGGAGGGCACCACGTAAACCAGAAGACGCCTCGACCACACCGACGCGAAGAAGTTTACCTCCGGGCTCCCAAACGTACGGCAGAGCCAATGGCAGGAGTCGGTATCGACCGTCCATTCCGTGGACAGGGGCACGAACCTGGACAGGCTGTCCGCCAGGACGTTGGACACCACCCTGACGTGAACTGCCAGGAAAGCCAAACCCCGAGAACTCAGCAGACGAATCACTCGCAACAACCAACCCCAAAAAGCCAAGGACCCATCGAACCCCCTCGGTACAGGCAATGAACCACTGGAGAGTAGTCCGAATGGAGCCAGATCGTCGATCTGCGGGCGGCCCAAACCCTCCGAAGCGCAAACCACACTGCCGTGAACTCCCGCACTGTGCTGTGGACCCGACGAAGCCCCCTGCCCCTGGCCGACCTGGTGAGCACTGGTCACAAAGCCACAGCCTAGAGACGACGCGTCCGTAGACACATCGAGCGAGGGCTCAGGCAGGCGCCAAGGCACTGAACCCTGAAAAACCCGAAGAGGAAGCCGGCAACGCAGCAGGCAACTCAAGGCCCCTGGGGGGTCGAACCCAGCGATTGCGAGAGAGGCGAAAGGGACGTCCCCGAAGGAACTAGAACAGCCGACGGAGCCAAACACGACCCGGTGGGTAGACCAACATTGCGAAGTTTAGGCTCCTGCACAAACCCTCGAGCAACCACAGGGTGACCCGGGAGTCCCCCAGAAACAGATACAGATGAGACCACAGCCGAAGGCGGTGGCACCGGTGCAGAGCGTGGTGTCACAGGCCCCGGAGCAGAGCACAGTGTCGGGGACGCCGCAGCAGAGTGCGGTCCCTGGCAAAGGGAAACAAACAAAACAAGGACCCAAAATCTGTTGGTATTACAAATGGGCTACCTGTAAACATGGGATATCGGGAAGAACAAATGGAACATGTAAGTACGATCACCCTAGAAAGTGCAAAAACCTCCTCAATACAGGTAAATGTACCAAAAGCTGTGAATTATTTCACCCAGAAATTTGCAAGAACTCTTTGGACAGGAAAGAGTGCTTCAATGCTGAATGTCCAGCTTTTCATATAAGGGGTACCAGGCGAATAAAACCGACAGACCGCCACTATGAAAACAGCCACTACTCCATCGACCGGGATAATTTTTTAGCAAGAGGAGGAGGAGAAAAATGGCTAAAAATGACCAGACTCTACCACCAACTCGGTCAAATGCTAGAGAGGACGCAAACACAGTGGCCTCTGTCGGAGTTTCTCTCTCTCTAGCCAGTCACCACTAAGTATTAGTAGTGAAAAGCGTTACTTACTGTAGCCCCACGGGTCTTCACTCAATCCTCACGGTGCCTCTGTTCACCTGGAGAGTCTCTCAGTCTGTCTCCGGCCGGCCTCGTAGCCTAAGACGAGTGAAAACACGATCCCTTCACTTGATCATGTGTCCGCCCCAACAGAGGGCTTTACCGCTCACTAAACGTCGCCAACTGGTGTTTTCTGTGTCCAGTAACACCTCAGTGGAAATAAAGTAGTAACAATGTAGTAGTAGTAGTGGCCCCATAGAACACTAATCAAGTTGGTAACAGGTAAGTATATGTTTAAATCACTCACTCTCACTAGCAACAAGGTAATGGAGGGTTGATGCAAACATGTTGGTGGTTTTGTAGTTTACTTAAAAGATTAAAGAATCACAACTCTGAATCAACAATATGGCAAAGAAATAAATGAGCAGCTTCCTCTCCGCCTCTTCACAATTCTGGAACACTCAGGGAGATGGCAACACTCCTGGCTGTCGCTCGTTCCCACGCTCCACATGCAGTATTATCGAACGTTTGGCAACTCGCGAGATGCCACGCCCACTCACTCTCCTCGCTGAGCTCACTCTGCTCACTATCTCACTATATTCACACTATTTGGCATGAGGCGCCTCTTATTCCTTCATGTTCACAGTATATTACTACACTGACATAATCACAGTTAACCACTAGACATATGAATATGATATTTAATAACTCCAGTGTATAGATCACTTCATCAGTATTCATAATAATAATAATGAGGCAACTCCAGGCAAACAGCCTTACACTATTAAATTGTACATTTATATATATATCCTCTGACACAAACTTATAATATAAATGACACGTATATATAAATGTCCTTGTCACAGTAATCTCTTCATCAAACCACAGGTGCAATCACACACCATATATATCTCTCGTGAGAGCTATATAGCATCTCCCTTCACAACTGTGTCTTACTAGAAACATAGACATTGGTGAGCCCTGCTCACAACATATTAGATACTCTGGCTAATAGCTAACTAAAGGGGAATGGGAGGGAAAACTGAATTACCTACTTCCACCATCAATGATGTGGACTCGTCCTCTGTTGAGGGTTGAATTGAAGCTCCTGGTCCCGGCTCACGACTTGCTGTAGGGAACACCCCCACACACACACTGATGCTCTTCCCAGGACTTCAACCAACGCCCAAAAACGCGTCTTCTCCGTGCTGC